AAAAAATATAATATAAGTGTTATATTAGTTGAAAGGTTAAATTATATTAAAAATCTATATGTGAATTTAATAAATATATAATATAAGTGTTATATTAGTTGAAAGGTTAAATGTTATTAAAAAATCTATGTAAATTTATTGGATATGAATGTGTTATTGAATAAGTTTTAATAATAAGTATTAAAGAAAATAAAAAAGATATATAATATATTTATGTGTATTAGGTAACTTCAGCTTTATATGTAAAAAGAGAGTCTGGGTGGTAGGCTTTTTTGAATTGGTTGCTATATTGAAATTATAAATGGGTTTGATAGTGTTATAAAATGGTATCTTGAAGGAAATCTTGCTGAGATGCAAATGGGTGAAAGTGTATATTTTCGAGAATCTTGAGCTATATTATATAAATTTTGAGCTGTTTTAATTTTAATTCCGAAATCATCCAAAATTTCTCTAAATTTTCAATATTAATGTTTGAAGCTAGCATATCCCATTTTTTTAAAATTATAACCTCTTGAAGGTTAGGCATGTTTGATTTAATAAAGAAACTGAATCTTATTTATAATTTTGTATATATTTATTATTAAGGTTCAAATAAAAGTTTTCATTTTTAACATTTGTATTACATTGCTGGATTCAATTTTATAAGGCTGGGTGACAAATACAAAGATTAATTTGTAATTGCTTTAAAATTAGATACATTATCTAGCACAGGTAAGCTACTTATTGGATGATTATTATAAATAGGTTTATCAGAAGGAATGAAAAATGAGGTTTGATAACTGATTAAAATCTTGGGAATTGATTGAATTGGAATATAATTGGTTAGTAATAGCACTTTCTTGAGTAAGAGGGATTAATTATAATCTTCAATTGCTGTATGAAGCAGTGTAACTAATGTAATCTTTGTTTTTAGGTAAATAACGTTAGAGCATGGTTTTTTAGGATATGTATGGTATACTGGTGTAATTGTATTTTTTGAATTCATATTAATTTTCAGCCTAGGAATATTTAGACAATATTTTAAAGGGGTTTTAGCAGTAGTAGATAGGAACTGTGGTAAGCGGAAAATAAATCCCCGTAAAAAAAATCCTCAATAATAATTCTTAGAAAATAATTCTCCGGAATTGATTTTTTCAAAATTTTAAAATATATTATTTGAGGATATATATTCAATGGATATATTTATAGGGAATTTTTTATCCTATGTTTTGTAATTTTTAATATCTTAAAAAACGGGGATTTTATTTTCGGGGAATTATTTTCCTAGATTCTTAGCGTTATTATTGCATTTTACCATTATCGTCATTATTGTTTCTTATCACGTTTTATTAGTTCTTATTGAACTACTATATTACTTTTTATTAATTTTGTTTTCTTAATTTTATGTATTTTGTCTTAACACAAATCATTTATTATAAAAAAAATATATTATTTTATACATTTTAATAAATCATTATAATATATAAAAAACATTCAATATTAATGTAATAAATTAATCTTTAATAATAAAATGTTCACTAGAACATATAAGAGAATATTAAATGCCTTATATAATAAAATAATTTTAATTATATTTTTTAAAAATGCTAGAATAAAATTATATATAAATAAATAGATTTACAAAAAAACAAATCAATTTTCACATAGAAATAATTTCATTAAATAAATCTAATGAGGTTTGATTTGCAGGTGTATCTGTTGGGAGGTGTTCAATTGTGGTGTTTGTCTGATTGATTCATTAAAATATGATACAATCGAGATACTTCATGAAAAAATTTTTCTTTGAATTGCTCATACTTTCCAAACCCTTTGCCATTGATGGGAGAATTCATAATGTTAAATTTATATATAAATATATATTTTACTGGCTCGCAGATAGCACCATTTCAAAAAGAGCAAACATTCTTTCATCCAGCAATGTATTAATTTTAACCCACTTGCCTTTGGTATAATTTCTTTGGGACTAAAACTATCAGTAGTTTTTAGGGATGTACCGATATTTTTTATCGGATCGGGCCGATATTTCGCCCATTTTGAATATCGGTTATCGGCCAATACTAAAAAAATTCCGATCCGATCCGATAAAAAATGGCGTTTTTGAAAAAACCCATTTATTTTTATAAAAAATGGCTTTTTTTTATAAAACCCATTTATTTTTATAAAAAAATCGAAATCCATTTTTATGTTTATTTTTATAAAAAAATTGAAATCCATTTTTATGTTTATTTTTTTAATAATAATTAATTAAACATTTTGCCATATTGTTATTTTTTATAAAGGTGTCCAAACTATGAAGGATGCTATGTATAAAGATTTTACCAAACGTTTTTCCTCTATTTATAATGTTAAAATATACTTTATAGCAACAATTTTGGATCCACGATTTAAAACCATCTTTTTTTCAATTCAATCTATATCTAACTTTTATAGACAAAAACTACTTCTAGTATGCTTTGACAGTAATCCTGGTGAAATAATTAATTCATCCAGCCTAGGTAAAGAATTAAATCAATTTAATAAATATTTCATTTAAATTTTATAATTTAAACAATTTAGAAAAGGATAATCAAAATATGGAGATAAAAGAAATTCCATCAACATCAGCAATGGATTCAACTGGCATATTTAGTTTGTGGGGATCTTATGCTGATGTGGTTAAAGATAACGAGAAATCTAATAACATTACCAGTGTAAATTGTCCTTATTCCCTTGAGATTGAAAACTATCTTAATGAACCAGTTTTCAAAGCACTAAATGATAATACCCCTGCGGATCCATTGAAATATTGGGCTGTGAATTGCCAAAAATATCCAACCCTATCTAAACTTGCTCGTCAATATCTAGCAACACCTGCCACAAGTATCTCATCTGAATCTGTTTTTAGTGAAGCTGGTGATATTGACAGTCCCCATCGCCGCAGACTGACCTCAGATAAATTAGAAATTTTGGTATTTCTAAAAAGAAATCTTAGATATATTAATTTTAAATATTAATATCATAATATATGTGTTTATTACTTATTTTATTTTGTAAATAGATTAATGTTATTACTTTTTATATAAATATGTGATTTATCAATAAAAATATTTTATATACTTATTGAATTGAATATAAGCTTAAGCTATAATAACTGACCATTATAATATATTTAAATGACATGTTATGGCATAGTTAAATTATAGATGTTATACTAATAAAAAGTTATTAAAAATTAAAACCATTGGTATCTTTATAGAATACAAAATTAGATATGATATCGGATCGGTTATCGGCCAAAATCAATTTAATATTGGGAATATCGGATCGGCCTCCAAAAAGTGGTATCGGTACACCCCTAGTAGTTTTCTATCCTTTATGGTTGGTTCCATGAAATTAATGTAATCATACCATCTGTATGAGAGTTTAGAGCCAGAAGCTCCTAAAGCCTTACTCAATTTATCTTATTTAGGTTTTTAAAGTTTTTTTCTTCTTTATGCATGATACAGTTGTATCAAGCAATGGAAATTCCATCTCCAAGTTATTAAAAATATAATCATTATTCATATTACTTAAACTAATGGTTGATAAACCTTCTATTCTTATGGTCTAGATGCTACTGGCTCCAGACCATTTGTTGAGTTTCCAGTAAGGTACAAAATATTATAGTAAAATTATTATCCCTCATTTTAAAATGTGGGATGTTATCAATTAATATATCCCAAAATTATATAAATTAATATATTCTAAAATTATATAAAATATCATTTAATATATTATAAAATTATATAAATTTCAATTTATATATTTTAAATAATATAATATAAATTAATATATGAAATAAATTATATTTTTTATCCATTTTCAAATTTTAGCCCAAATTTAAATAAGTATAGAAAAAATCAAACCAGTTTGTTTTTTTATTTACGCTTGCCGTAAAAAATTCAATTTGCACCCCACCATCTAAAATGCATTATTAGCTTTTAAAACGGAGCGTTGCAAAGCTCAATTTATGCTCATTATTATACTTTTTATAAATCTGTGTTTTTAGCTTTCCTGGGGAATAAGTTAACAAAAATTTAAAAAAATGTAATTTATTTTTTCTATTTAATATTTATGTAAAATTTTAAAAAATTGGATGGAAACACATATTTTTATTTTATTTTATCCTCCAAAATCGAATAAAACCATTAAAAAAATATTACAGAACTTAAAAAATGTGATTCTTAAATTTTATTATCTCTATAGAATGAAAATTATCTGAAAATACTTTAAATGATATTTTAATTATGAAATTTAAAAAAATTTAACTTGTTGATTTTATATATAATTATATTTTGTTAATAATATTTTGTCATCTCATTTTTGAGATTTTAAAAACAAATAAAAGAGTAAAATTTATTATTGACTAGGTATATCTTAAAATTTGTTTTAGTCAAGTTACATATCCCTATAAACAGACAACTAAAGGATTAATCATAATAATACAATAATTCTAATTAGTAAAATAATATGAATTGTTAAAAGCCATTCTCAATGGCAATTTCTCATATCAATTGCCTTCCGTGAAAACATGTGTAACCTAAGTGAGACTTTTCTATATTAGTCGGATATTGTAAATTATATTACCCACAAATTAATAAATTTAATCTAATAAATATTTATTAAAAATAAATATGTAATTAGATCAATTACCAGGTCAAAGTTTCTTTTGGTTTTTCTAATTACAGTTACTTCTTGATACTATGATATGATAACGTTCATAAAAATTAGCATATAATAATTTCGAACACTTTTCTAATTTATACGATTTTTATGTCTATTATGAATACTAATACTATAGATAATTTTGATAAATCAGCTTGAAAACCAATAATTTTTAATAAAAATAAATGAATTTTGACTGGAGATCCAAAATTTAGGAATCTACATAGACAAGTAGATTTCATGTGGTCTTTAATGATGATAGATAACTTTTTCAATTCAAATAATATACTAATTCACAATATTTAATTGATAAAAAGTTAGCGGACAAGGCTACATAACTTTGTACTTAGATTTCGATCCAAAAAATTCGTATTCGTCTTCTATCAATTCTGACGACCCATTATTCAACGCTAAGGATCCTCAACTCAGAAGGAGAAAGCCCATAAAATTTTTAATTTCATCATATTCCACCAATAAATCAGAAGTCAACAAAACAATTATCAATAGCAAAAGCGAAATTTTGGACACATTAAAAAGATCATCTAATGAAAGTTTCATTTTAAGCATTTCTCATTAAGAATAATTTTTTAATTATATAAATGAAAATATATTTCAAATTCTCGAGAAAATGAGTGAACTATAAAATTTTCATTAATAAAGGAATTCATTTATAATCATTTATTATTATTCTAGGAGTGGAATTAGAAAATCCATTTTCTCATGACAACAATATAATTCCATGTAAATCATTTCCTATCGAAAGAGACATTGCCACGATGAAAGAGATGGACTTTAATCAAAAACCTAAAGACGACGATTTAACTAAAACTGCTATGCCAACCAAAGTATTAAAAAGAGTATTTCAAATATTTTTCAATTTTGCATTCATATAAGGGATATAATGGGAATGAAGCAAAACAATAAACTTAAAATCGAAATTTTCCTATATTTACTTCTGGGAAACTAATTTTTTGAGCATATAAAAATGATTAAATTTATATTAAAAAATAGTAGTTTAATTTTTTTTGCGAAAGCAATTTATATTGCTTTTATTATTTTGGACCTTCTATTTGATTTATAATATACATTGTATTCCAATCAAACTGATATCCTTTTTGTTTTAGCAATAAATCGACTCTCCCAAAATCCTATCTTCAGCCTCATCGTGGTGGGGGAGTGCCAACATCTTTTGGCGGCTAATGGAGGTCTAAAAGGTTGCCTGTTATCTGGGTCTAGGATAGGATAACCGTCTCCTCGACGGGGTGTAAAAACCACTTAAAGGGGTTGATGTTAGGAAGGGCATCCGATTGTAAAAGCCTTGCCACAAAATTTCCCTATGGTTACAACAAACCATGGGCGGGGTACAGCCCAAAATACCCTGTGGGCCTCATTATTTGCCTACGGCAAAAAGAAGGATGGGAAACTTCGTGGAACCACGATTCATGAAAATGAAACTTATGACGGCTAAACGACCTGATAATAAGTGGAGAAACAAGTTTACGGGGGATCGAGTAAGGGTCGTGACATGGAATGTTGGGAGTTGACCGAAAACTATGGAAAAGTTCAATGTATTGCTTAGAAGACATGTAGATGTGTGCTGCATACAGGAGACCAGATGGAAAGGAAATGGCGCAAGAATGATTGGCAAGACTAGTGAAAAGTATAAATTCTTTTGGCAAGGAAGTAATGATGGTAAGGCTGGAGTTGGGGTATTAGTTGCGGAGAAATTGCTAAGTAGTCGAAGTGAGAAGGCTAGATAACCAGATAATGTGGTTATCAAGATGATTTTTGGTAGAAAACTATATAATATTATCTCGACATATGTTCCTCAGGTTAGAAGAAATGAAGAAGAGAAAGATATATTTTGGGACAGTCTATTGGGGGTGACATCGAGACTGGCAAATGAAGAGGAGATTATCCTGGCTGGTGATCTGAATGGACATTTGGGAGCGATTAGTAGGGTTATGAAGGAGTACATGAGCATTCAGTTACGGCATGAGAAATCTGGAAGGGGAGGGGATTTTAGATTTTAGTGTTGCTATGGATATGATTGTCTATAATACAATGTTTAAGAAAGAATCAGAGAAGCTGGTGGCTTCTAAGTCGGGTTATACCAAAAGTGCAAGGGAATATTTGTTATTAAGGAGATGTGATAGATGTATAATAAAAAATGTGAAAGTGATACCAGGAGAGGAATGTATTAATCAGCATCGACTAGTTATAGGAGATCTCACTTTTAAAGGCGCCAGGATCACTAAAAGAAAGTTTTTGCCAAGGCTGAAGGTTTGGAAATTGAAGGAGGAGAGTGCCAGACGTCAATTCAATATGACATTGGCGATAAGGGAGGCGGAGGTGGCACAAGCATCTGGGGTAAATGACAAGTGGGAAACCATGAAGAAAGCTTGGGTGATGACAACTGAGGAGGTGTGTGGATGGACAAAAGGGCAACCTAGACCTAAGGAGACTTGGTGGTGGAATCTAGAGGTAGCAAAAGCTGTGGATGAGAAACGGAGGTGCTTCAACGAATGGTATAATAGTAAAGAAAATAGTGATAACGATATTTAAAAGATGGCGAAAAGAAATACTAAGAAATTAATAGCTAAAAAAGCGCAAGAAGACAAGAGGGAGTTTGCTAAAGAAATGGAATGCGCTAGGAATGGGAAATATGGTTCGAATAGCAAAGCAGTTGGCAAAAAAGAGGCAGGATGTGGTAAGTGTTAAATGTTTGAAAAATATGGAAAAATAGTGATTGATAGTAGTGGTATTAAGAACACCTGGAAAATCTACATGGAAGGGTTTTTGAACGAAGAAAATGAATGAGATAATAATGTTAGTTGTGCAAAGGTAGAAGACCCAGAGTGTAAATTTGGCATGGACGATATAAAAAGAGCAGTGAAAAAGATGAAAAGGCACCGGGTTTAACGATGGTGGTATCAGAAATGTTTAAAGGTTCTGAAGATTTAGGGATTGAATGGTTAATGAATTTAGCCAATCAAATTGTCACAGAAGGAACTATTCCCGAGGATTGGCGAAGAAGTATAATTATCCCAGTATATAAGGGAAAATGTGACCCTTTAGATTGCGGGTCTTACAGAGCTATTAAACTCTTAGAACATGCAATGAAAGTATTTGAGAGGGTTTTAGAGAAGCGGATAAGGGAACAAACTAAAATTGATGAAATACAGTTTGGAATTCCATCGGAGAAAGGCACGACAGATGCAATTTTTGTGGTGAGACAAATACAGAAGTATCTTGCGAAGGATAAGAATCTGTATTATTTGTTGATTTGAAAAAAGCATTTGAAAGGGTGCCGCGCGAGGTTACTAGATATGCCTTGAGAAAATCAAATGTGGAGGAATGGTTATCGCAGAGATGGCAATGTATGTGGGAGTACAAACAGCAGTATGGACAGATTATAGTGATAGTGAAAGCTTTGAGGTGAAGGTAGGACTTCATCAAGGATCCTTGCTGAGTCCATTATTATTTATCTTAGTAATGGATGTGGTGTGAAGGACTTCCTTAGGAGCTGTTGGAGTTGGACAGACGGGTCCCACCGTCGGGCAGGGGTAGATACTGTCCGTGATCGGGAGTCCCGGGATGGTCGATGATGGGGACCGGATTTGGACATCATTTTTGTCATGAAAAACTGGTAAGTCGTGAAATAAATGAAACACGTATTTATTTTAATTGGTAATTAAACAGTATGATATTATAAACAGCAAAAGAAAAAAATCAAATATTTCTTGATCACAATTCATTTTTCGAGGTCTTTATATAGACCCCTTTTTCCATCAAACAATAATAAAAAAAAGAATATTAATTTAATGTCCTGGTCCATCTCGAAAACTGGCTAGAACCAGTTTTGAGGATGAAATCAAAACAGGCTCGGTATACGTGAACAAAGAAAAAAATATAAATGATAATATGAGAAAAACACATCACTACTAAATGAACAAAGAAAACAAAAATATAAATAGTAATATAAAAAAAAACATATCACTAGAACAAAACATAATAATAATTATAAACTAGTTAAAACACAACAGGAGCTATTATAGATGACCTTGTATTAATGGCAAACAGTGAGGAGAAATTGAAGGATAAAATTAGTAAATGGAAGATGACTATGGAAGCAAAGGGCCTGAAAATAAATGCATCAAAGACGAAGGTGATGATTGGTAGGGAAAATCTAAAGATTTAGGAATCCGGTAAGTGGTCTTGTGGTATATGTCGGAAAGGAGTTGCTAGAAATTCAATCTAATGCACCAGATGCCAGAAATGGGTACATAATAGATGTAGCAGAGAAAAAGAAATTATGATGTTAGCAAGAATGACCTTTATTTGTAGAACATGCATGAAAGGGATACATAATAATGATAACGTAGAAAATGGTGGTCTGGATATTGGCTATGGGTTAACCCTAGAAAAAGTCGATAAGTTTTGTTATTTGGGTGATATGCTAAACACAGATGGTGGTGTAGATTCTGTCGTTGTTGAAAGGGTCAGACAATCTTGGAAAAAGTTTAGAATGATGTCGTCTATTCTTACAAATAAAAAAGTCTCCTGAAGTTAAATGGGAAAGATTACCTTAGCTGTGTGAGGAGTTGTTTAGTTTATGGCGGCGAAACATGGGCAATTAAAGCGACTCACGAAACCAAATTAGAAAGAACAGAGATGAAGATGATTAGATTAATGTGTGGGGTATCTCTGAGAGAGAGAAAAACTAGCAAGGAATTGCCAGCAAGATTGGGTATAGAAATGATTGGAGTGATAATGATGGTTTGGGCATGTGGAACGTATAACAAAAGATGACTGGGTAAAGAGATGCACCTTGATGAAAGTAGGAGGCACGAGACCTAGAGGAAAGCCCAAGATGACTTGGACAAATGTGATAGCGGTGGGTATGAGAAACATGAATCTTGCAAATATTGATGCTCAAGACCGTCAAAATTGGAAAAGAAAAATCAGAGGGAAAACTGGCCTACCCGGATAAACCTGGAAATCGCCATAAAACGGAGAAGAAAGAAGAATAAATCTTCAATTCTAAAAATAATTGAGAGAGGTATACATTATCAATGTTTTTTACAAATTTCATCAGATTCTATCACCAGGGTCCAAAGTTATGTACATTCAAAGTTGGATAAACAAATTTCGAAAACATGGAAAATTCGTCAAAAACATGAAGTCATTAACATATTAAAATAATTTGAGTCAAATATTGTAGTTCAAAGATGATGTTCAAAATGTCAACCATTAGTTCGAATACATGCTCATAGGCAATCTTGCCATTCAGGGATTGCTCAATACACAATTCCTTGATCAACACCATACCGTTTTTCTCAATCGATTCTATTCTGCGAAAGAGCAGTTTCTCAGCGTTTTTATATCATTAATATAATAAATTTTACATTAATAGACCTTAATAAAATCATAAACCTTAATCTTATGATCAACAGCTGATAAATTTGAAAAATCAAATATATAATTACCATTCTTTTTTAATGGTCTTTCAAGGAGTGTGTCCTCATTGTAAAAGTTTTTGAGTTAACTAAAACTCTCCACTTATGCACGAACTACCTGATAAATGTTCCCATATTCCCCAAAAATGTGACAAAATCCTTTAAACATTCCTGATAAGATATTAATTCCATCCAATAGCACCAATAACAATGTACAGATAATTTCTCACACTTAGTCTGAAAAAAGTGCCTCATCATCAAAGATTTCCTAAAGATAGTTGAAATTTACCCACAAATTTTATAATCGAATTCTTAATGTAAATAATGGCTTCAATATAAAATTATGAGACAAACTACTAACATTTTCCTATAAATATCTCACCCCTCCCAAATCCTAATATTTCTCTATTTAATTACATTAAACACAACTTGGAAAATTTTGACTTCTTCCCCATGTCTGATTATTACATACATAAGAGATGTAATTATAAGGATGATAACAATCAACTCATCGTTGCAATAAAATATTAAAAGAAATCAATGAGGATGACCCATCCATTGAAAATAAATTACAAAATGCTCATATCTTATTTTTGCTTCGCAATCTTTACCCGAGAGCAGAAAATACAAAGACAAATATAGTTAAATAATCTTTTGTTCTTTCGGTAGTTTCGGACATTTGAGGATCATTTTGGTCTCAAGCCCTAAAGTTATTCATAACAAAGGTTACCTTTAATTACAAGGGATCCAAAAGAGGGCGTTCTCTTGCGTCAAAAATTATCGATCGAAATTTGCTGATCCAACTGTATATCTTATAAATGGGTCATTAAGCTCCACCGACTTAACCTTAATATTTATTTTTTAAATATTTTTTTTTTAAATATATATTTTTATAGATTTAGTTATTTTTAAAAATATATATTTTTATATATACGGTTATATTTCTTGAAAATAAAAATAATTTTTACACAAAACATAAAATGTTTGATTTAATCATTCCAACCCTATTTCTAACTCATGTATATTGGACTGGGCTTTATTTTGCACATATCTAATGCATACTACAAGGGTTAAAGGGGCCTTGCGACTATTTTGGTAAAAATATGATGGACTGAAGGCTTACCTTTTTTTAAACGTGGTCGGCCTTTGAAAAATAAAATAGAAAATAATGTTTTCTTTAAGTATGATTATTAAAATTTATCTCTTAAATTGGGACAATTTGTATTTAACTTGTTATTAAAAATGGGTTTAATTTATGTTTTTCAATTAAAAATTTTAGGCCCTGGTGCTGACCAAAAATAAAAATTGCAGTGCTCACGCCTAAATATAAATGAATAAATTCGGGCCTGGCTTGGGCTTAAAATAAATATTTTAAATTTGAACCGAGCTTGGGTTGAAAATGATAAATATGCAGGGTTCTAACTTTTGTTAACAAAAAATTATAATTAGAAAGAAGATCACCCAGAACAAAACAACATTTTGGATGATAAAAATCGCTATATTTTACCCCGTCCGAATTCTATTTATAGTTTGCAACACGGAACAGATCGAAGTTCTATTTTGACCGATTTAAATGATAGATTTAATCATTTGACCAATCTAAATTTCCGTTTTTTGGCATCAAATGCACCTTCTACGTGTTCGGATTCTTTGAATACCAATAAACAAAAATTTATTCTGAATCAACCTGTAAGTTCTTCGTACAATACCCCTAAAAATGACTGCATAGGAATATTGTGGAGTCAGGTATTAAAGGACATCATATACTTAGCCTACCCTACAGAAATTGTCATGTTAATGTTAACGACCACTCATCCTACATGCCCTAACTATAATTTAGTCAATTTGGGTGCCCTGGCCACCAGAAAGAAGAAAAATTATATGAAAAGCGTTATTCTAGCTACCAGAGACAATCCCATTGTCAAAGTAAAGTGGCGTTAAAATCAGAATATGGAACTTGGACGAAAAAGAGTTCTAGTTCTGAATTTTTAAAAAAGTGATTCTGGTTCCTGTTCCTAAAATTTTGACAAGTGTTGCTGTTCCTAAATTAGATACGGTTCAAGGTTCTGGTAAATTTAAAATAGGTTTTAGTTCTTACAAATTTTAAAACAGGGTTTCATGTTCTGGTTCCTAATTTATCAGGGTTCTTGTGGTTCTAAATTATGTTTTAAATATTTATATCATTCTAGAAATCCGAGCGAATTTACCACCAAAATTATTTTATGTAAAATGTTTTATATTAATTGCATTTTCACCAGGTTCTAACAATATCGGGCACCGCGGCCTTCACTCATTCATTCAATGAAACTTTGTTTGTGATTTACGAAGATGGATCGATTCGAGTATGTTATCAACACGAACTCGCTTCTTTCTTCTATGCAAATCAGAGTTTATTATATGAATATATTATTTCCCAAATCGAAAACACATTTTTATAATATCGGTTTTGTTCTATTTATTTACTATAGTTTCTATAAAAATTTACGAAGAAAACATCATGGATTAAGTGGGGAATCTTATGATAGTAAAATAGAAAGTAATACTTAATAACTCGACTTTTTTGATGTAAAGGAATTAGACTTATTTTATATTTAATTTAAACATGAGTTATATATTATATATTTGAAAGTACAAGCTTTTAAGCTCTCATGTCAAAAATATGGAATAATTTATGTTATAAAGAAATGAGTTATTTAGTATAATGAATATTTTTGTGCCTAATACTTTTTTTAATTATAATTCTATTTAACAGTCTATTGTTCCACATCTGATATGGAAGATATTTACAATTTTATGACCAAAAAATTTGAAAAAGAAGATAAAGATCCCATTTCAATTGTGTCATCTTTTACGGATGCTTGTAATAATGCTGAATACCTTCATTTAACAAGTAAGTCCACTTTGTCAAGTGGACTTAAGCATATAAAAGTTCATGGGGCTGCTATATCCCCATTTTCTTGCAATAAAATTGTAATCTTAATATCGACTATAAATAAATCCAAATCCAATAATGAGAGTTCTGAGTTTTTGGCTAAAAGCAAGCTAAACACCCATTTGATAGTATGGGAAATGAATATCAAAGAAAAATACAAGGATTTTTTCAAGCCCAACTATAGGAAGGTATATCATTCTAGTTTATAAAATGTATTTTAAAATTTAGTATAAACATATTTAATGTCGTTAAATTTTTTTTTTACCAAATTCCATTTATTCTATAGAACAATGTAAAACTCATTCCTCAGCCTAATATTTTTTACCCTGCCGCTTCTGAAATATCAAGCGACACCCCAAATAGATCCACAACTAAAGAAACATCTTTACATTCTTTTTCATACTTCATAAATAAATTGGTGTCAAAAAGTAATGGTTTTATGCCCAGCGAAAACGACCATTATATTGAGGTTAGCATAAATATTAAGATTAAATATAGACTGAATATTATACCTATACTCTACAGTTTTTGATGACAGGTCTGTATCAACATTTATCACCAAGGCCTAAGGTTATTAGTATTCTTTCCTCTCTAATTGGTTTTGATCAATTTGCCAATCGCTCGAAGAATATTATTTTGGCTGTTGGTAAGTATAGATATATATTCATTTTATCTATAATTTATATATAGGTTCGGAGTTCGGAACTATACAAATTATTAATTTATCTAAAAACACACTTATAGCTGAATTTAGTCACATTCACGAAAATCCTATTAAGTAATGTAATAATTATTTCAAATTAAAAAAATTATGTTTAATAGATTCATTCATTGGACATCTAATAATACTCTGTTATCATTTTCACATGATATACCTCATTCGTTTAAAATAGATGGAAATACTACATTTTTTAAAAACGATATCATATATCTAAACGTACTAACGGGTAAGAATAAATGATATATATATTTCATATTAAATCAATGAAGGTTTTAACCACGACCACGCTCAATTTTTAATTTTTTTTGTACAATGTGTTAATTACTTTAAAAAAACCCTTATTTCCGGAGATAAGAGCTCCTCATAAAAAATCGTGAAAATGCTCATAATTAATTTTGGTTAGAGCAGTCATTCGAATTTTATTATACAACTTAATAATACTTCTTTAATATGACATAATATGTAATCTAATCAGTTTATTACTAAAATCTGGGAATGATCATAGGAATTTAAAGTAGTTACTAAATTGACTGCTTTATATTTGTAAAATCTTTTAGATTGGGCCAAGTACTCATCAGTTATGACTTAATCGGCTAAAATTCATTAAATTTAAAATACTAATTATAATATAGTAACTCCAATAAGGTCTATTTTTTGGAATGTAACGACAAAAGTAAGAAGTTACCTTTTAAAATAAGTTAAATATTTTATTTCTTTAGTTACGATGATTTCCCAAATTTAAAATGCTTGATCATTATATAATATGTTTTACTTACATCAAACGTTCTTATAGAATATTTGTTTAGTCTAGGGAAGCTTATTTTGGGAGAAAAACAAGCACGCTTAGCTAAGGCATATGATACCTCGAACTTTGTCAATAACTCTAACCCTCTTCTTCTTCCAGTATATTGCCATGCCCACCCAACCCCAGCCAATCTATATTTCTACAGACGAGTTGGTTAATGCAATTAATTCTTTTAATAAAATTTAGTAGGTGGCTTAGACGAGGTTAGACCCTCTCATTTTCAATTTTCATCAAATAAAAATAATTCTTTCCACACATCTTTAACCAACGTATTAGTTAACTTTTGTAATAATATATTAAATCGAGATATTCACATACAAATTCATCAAATAAATTTTGGTGCCCGCCTTTTAGCAGTATCAAAGTCGGATGGTGGCATTCTTCCAATAGCTATAGGGTCTTTTTAAGAAAGTTAATTGCTAAGTAAAACTATTTATTCTAGATCTATGTTATTTAAATAGGGAAATCTTATGCTGGCCACTATATTATATTCATAAAGTCATTAAATACTTCGACTCGCTCTTGATCTCCTTCACTAAAACCAAAACTTGCTTTTAAATAGCAAACCTTCTGATTTAGTCGGTTTCAAAATAGGGACACGCGATAAATTAACCATATTTGGTCTATATCGAAAGAAACTTTTGATAAAAAATTTTAAAAACTTTTTGAAATGTGTGAAATTTTTAAAGGATAATGATATATGAAATTAGTTACTTGCTAAACAACGACCAAAATTTATTAAAATGCAAGACACATTTATTTTTAATATACAATAACAGAATGTGGTCTAGCCCGATCTAATATACATCATCCCCCCCCCGGCGGAATCACCTAAGCTTTAGATAAAAATATGATCCTTATTGGATTCAAACCCAGAACTATCGGATTGTGATATACGCACTGAACCGACTAGACCACATACGCTAGTCGAATCAAATTTTTTTATATTAGGATAAAATTACAACGCTATCTAATATTTTAATAAAACACATAAAAATCAATAATGTTCAATTATACATCATGCATTTTTTAATACCAACTTGCGTATCGAAGTTAATTTTTAATTCGTAAATGTCTATACATATAAAAAAAATTACATATTTTTAGGTCCTTTTTTTTTTAAAAAAAAACTATTTTTATTGATAAATGAAATGTATCAAAATAATTTATTGTGAAATATTAATTTAATATTATCAGATATGTATGGTGGATTCCATCTCTCCTTAAATCCTACCTTCAGCCTCATCGTGGCGGGGGAGTGGCAACGTCTTTTGGCGGCTAATGGAGGTCTAAAAGGTTCCCTGTGATCTGGGTCTAGAATAGGATCACCGTCTCCCCGACGGGGTATAAAAACCACTTAAAGAGGTTGATGTCAGGAAGGGCATCCGATTGTAAAAACCTTGCTACAAAATTTCCCTATGGTTACAACAAAGCATGGGCGGGGTACAACCCAAAGTACCCCGTGGGCCTCCTCATCCGCCTACGACAAAAAGAAGGATGGGAAACCTGGTGGAACCACTATTCATGAAAATGAAACTTATGACGGCTATAAACGACCTGATAAAAAGTGAGTGGAGAAACCAGTTTACGGGTGATCGAGTTAGGGTCGTGACATGGAATGTTGGGAATATGACGAGAAGAGCGGGAGAAGTCGTCGATGTATTGCACAGAAGGCATATAGATGTGTGCTGCATACAGAAGACTAGATGGAAAGAAAATGGGACCAGAATGATTGGCAAGACCAGCGAAAAGTATAAATTCTTTTGGCAAGGAAGTAATGATGGTAAGGCTGGAGTTGGGGTATTAGTTGCAGAGAAATTGGTAAGTAGTCAAAGTGAGAAGGCTAGACAACCAGATAATGGTTATCAAGATGATTTTTGGTAGAAAGCTATATAATATTATCTCGGCATATGTTCCTCAGGTTGGAAGAAGTGAAGAAGAGAAAGATATATTTTGGGACAGTCTATTGGAAGTGACATCGAGACTGGCAAATGAAGAGGGGATTATCCTGGCTGGTGATCCGAATGGACATGTGGGAGCGAGTAGTGAGGGTTATGAAGGAGTACATGGAGGGTTCAGTTATGGCATGAGAAATTTGGAAGGAGAGAGGATTTTAGATTTTAGTGTTGCTATGGATATGATTGTCTATAATACAATGTTTAAGAAAGAATCAGATAAGCTGGTGACTTATAAGTCGGGTAGTACCAAAAGTGCGGTGGATTACTTGTTATTAAGGAGATGTGATCGATGTATAGTAAAAAATGTGAAAGTGATACCGGGAGAGGAATTTATAAATCAGCATCGACTAGTTGTAGGAGATCTCACTCTTAAAGGTGCCAGGGTCACTAAAAGAAAGTTTGTCCCAAGGCTAAGGGTTTGGAAATTGAAGGAGGAGAGTGCTAGACGTCAATTCAATATGGCATTGGCGATTAGGGAGGTGGAGGTGGCACAAGCATCTGGGGTGAATGACAAGTGGGAAGCCATGAAGAAAGCCTGGGTAATGACAACTGAGGAGGTGTGTGGATGGAAAAAGGGCCGCCCAGACATAGGGAGACTTGGTAATGGAACCCGGAGGTAGCGAAAGCCGTGGATGAGAAACGGAGGTGTTTCAAAGTATGGTATAATAGCAAAGAAAATAGTGATAATGATATTTACAAGATGGCTAAAAGAAATGCTAAGAAATTAATAGCGAAGGCTCAAGAAGAAAAAAGACACGAGTTTGCTAAAGAAATGGAATGCGCTGATGAAATTGGAAATATGGTTCGAATGGCAAAACAGATGTCAAAAAAGAGGCAGGATGTGATAGGTGTAAAGTGTTTGAAAAATATGGAAGGAAAAATGGCGATTGATGGTAGTGGTATTAAGAACACCTGGAAGATTTACATGAAAGGACTTTTGAATGAAGAAAATGAATGGGATAATAATATTAGTTGTGCAAAGATAGAAGGTCCAGGGTGTAAATTTAGCAAGGACGAGATAAAGAGAGCAGTGAAAAAGATGAAGAAAAGGAAGGCAACGGGTTTAACTATGGTGGTATCAGAGATGTTTAAAGGTTCTGATGATTTAGGGATTGAATGGTTAATGAATTTAGCCTATCAAATTGTCTCATAAGGTACTATTCCCGAGGACCTTCGAAGAAGTATAATTATCCCAGTATACAAGGGGAAAAGTCATCCTTTAGATTGCGGGTCTTACAGAGCTATTAAACTCTTGAAACATGCAATGAAAGTATTTGAGAGAATGTTAGAGAAGCGGTTAAGGGAACAAATTAAAATTGATGAAATGCAGTTTGGTTTTACATCGGAAAAAGGCACGACAGATGCAAGTTTTGTTGTGAGACAAATTCAGGAGAAGTATCTTGCGAAGGAAAAGAAACTCTATATGCGTTTGTTGATTTGGAGAAAGCATTTGATAGGGTGCCGCGTGAGATAACTAGATGGGCCTTGAGAAAATCAGGTGTGGAGGTTTATGTTGGAGCACAAACAACTGTACGGACAGATTATGGTGATAGTGACAGCTTTGAGGTGAAGGTAGGACTTCATCAAGGATCCTTGCTGAGTCCATTATTATTTATCTTAGTAATGGATGTGGTGGCTAGAGAAATGCGTGAAGGACTTCCCTAAGAGATATTATATGCAGATTACCTTGTATTAATGGCAAACGGTGAGGGAGAATTTAGGGATAAAGTTAGTAAATGGAAGATGACTATGGAAGCAAAGGGCCTGAAAATGAATGCATCTAAAACAAAGGTGATGATTGGTGGGGAAAATCTAAAGATAGAGGAATCCGATAAGTGGCCTTGTGATGTATGGAGTTGCTAGAAATTCTATCCAATGCACCAGATGCCAGAAATGGGTACATAAAAGATGTAGCGGGAAGAAAGGCAGTTTGATGTTAGAAAGAATGACCTTTATTGTAGAACATGCATGAAAGGGATACATAATAATGATAACCTAAAAAATGGTGGTCTAGATATTGGCAATGGGTTAACCCTAGACAAAGTGGATAAGTTTTGTTATTTAGGTTATATGCTAAACGCAGATGGTGGTGTAGATTCTGCCGTTGTTGCAAGGATCAGACAAGCTTGGAAGAAGTTCAGAGAGATGTCGTCTATTCTTACAAATCAAAAAGTTTCTCTGAAGTTAAAGGGTTAAGTTTACGTAAGCTATGTGAGGAGTTGTTTAGTTTATGGTGGTGAAACATGGGCAATGAAAGCGACTCACGAAGCCAAATTAGAAAGAACAGAGATGAGGATGGTTAGATGGAAATGTGGGGTATCTCTGAGAGAGAGAAAAACTAGCAAGGAATTGCGAGCAAGATAGGTATAGAAATGATTGGTATGGTATTGCGACGAAATAGACTAAGATGGTTTGGGTATGTGGAACGTATGACAAGAGATGACTGGGTAAAGAGATGCACAATGATGGAAGCAGGAGGATCAAGACCTATAGGAAGACCCAAGATGACGTGCACAAATGTGATAGCGGCGGATATGAGAAGCATGAATCTTACAAGTATTGATGCTCAGGACCGTCAAAAATGGAAAAGAAAAATCAGAGGGAAAACTGGCCAACCCAGGTAAACCTGGAAATCGCCATAAAACGGAGAAGAAGATATGGTGAATTCCATATCAAATCAACCAAGGTTTCAACCCGACCCCCTTCAATTTTTCTTAAATTTTGTATACTAGTAGTATATACTATAACTAAGAAAAAAATGAAATTTTACCTTCCAACATACCCGCTAAGATATGGCCGTTTAAAGCGCGGAAAAATGGTACATTTTTGACAAAATGCACCTCGTTTATTTTCAAATATCTCGAGTAATAATTAAGTAAAAAATAATTTAAATTTTATTTTGTAGCTTAATAAAAGTTCTTTAAAATGACAAAAATAAATATGATGGACATTTTATTAATATCGAAAACCGGATGTGTAAAACCGGAAATGGCCTTAGAAAAAAAAGGTATTTTTTAAAAAAAATTTTTTCCTGTAGATAGATATCACACTGCTTTTTATTTCTACAAAATCCTAGACTGGGTTAAACATGGGTTTAGGAGTTATCACTCTTTATATGGCTAAAATTTATCAAATTTAACATTAATATCATCATATTTTAATTTAACGAATAGTTATGAAATAATGTTAATTCAAAAATTATGTCTAAATGATAATCCCTTACTTTTTTTTATCTTTATCAAAATTTTTGAGAAGTGGCTGGAATAATCAGCTTTGTTTAACACTTTAGTTAAATTTTGTCTAGAAGTTACTTGACAAAATAATTCTAAAGATATTTATAACTTTATTTGCCTTAAATTGCATTACATATAATACAATCAAAAATTTATAATTAAAATATATCATATATTATAATCATCCAAGGAATTTTAATAAATTATGATTTTTGTTTTCGTCTAGGGGAATAAAAGCTTCGAACTTTGTGTTCCAGAAATTCTCTTTGCTCTCAAAAATCTGCTTTCAAGATGACTTTCTATGTTCATATATTCATTATTGCTCACAAATATATAATTTACCCCTTTGATATTATTTCTTGCATAGTTAAATAAATCTATTGTTGTCAATATGTGATGTTCATATAAACGTTGCAAGCTTGCTCGAGCTGCTAACCGTTTAGTAAGGGCCCCCAAAATGTCGCATGGACTTTTACCTTGTGCGGTTTGAAAAAATGTCACTCAGCCTTTATCCCAAAATCATTTTCATGATTGTAGAGATTAATGAAATATTTTTATATAGGTTACTGTTCCATCAGAAAAATAATAAATTTTAGCCACTCTATTAAACCCTTCCCTTAAGAATACGATCAATTTTTAAAATAAATAAAATTAACACTTTAAACAATCTGATATAACCACTAAATTTACATGTTTTATTATGTTGTTCTCACGGTATTAAATTATAAGAGTTGATAGTGGCTTGATTATTGGTCTGATTTAATACTTGTGCATGGTTCTGCACCACAAATGCATAATTTTCTGAAAAGTCTGCAATAACTAAGAATTCGCCAACATTTAAATTGAATTTTAAAAAGTTTCGAATTAATGATTATCGTGAAACTATAAACAAATGAGGAATTAAATTGTTAATTATTCAATTAAATAATCTACAAATTCGTCAGCGGATTTTGTCAGTTGTTTTGCTATCCATTGTTTGAATGTTTTATAATCTCTAAATTCTCGTCAAATAATATATTAAGCCTTTCTTTTAATTTTACATGGGGGAAAATTTATTGTTGAATTTCAATTTTGGTAGATTATTTTATGCTAAATAAAATATTTAAAATTATTTTGTCAAGTAATTTTAATTTCGAGATAAAATTTAACTAAAGTTTTAAACAGCTCATTATCCCAGCCATCTCTCAATTTTTTTTTATAAAGATAAAAAAAGTAAGGGCCTATCATTTAGACATAATTTTTAAATTAACATTATTTCATAACTATTCATTAAATTAAAATATCATGATATTAATGTTTTGTTCAATTTTAGCCATATAAAGAGTGATAACTCCTAAACCCATGTTCATCCCAGTCTAGGATTTTGTACAAATATAAAGCAGTATGATATCTATCTACAAAAAAAATTTGAAAAAAACCTTTTTTTTCTATGGCTATTTCCGGTTTTACACATCCGGTTTTCGATATTAACAAAATGTTCATCATATTTATTTTTATGTCATTTTAAAGAACTTTTATTAAGCTACAAAATAAAATTCATATTATTTTTCTAACTTAATTATTACTCGAGATAAATGTACCATTTTTCCGCGCTTTAAACCGCCATATCTTAGCGGGTAAACAGTGTTGGAAGGTAAAATTTTATTTTTTTCTTAGTTATAGTATATACTACCAGTATACAAAATTTAAGAAAAATTGAAGGGGGTCGGGTTGAAAATCGACTTTTTTTTGTTGATTTGATATGGAATTCACCATATATATGTTTTTCTATTTTTATAAATTGTAAATAAATTGTAATAACATATTTTAAATGGACTCTTTCCAAGTTGGCTGGAAAATTTGGCGGGCTAGATCTTTTTCCACTTCATCCCATATTCATATCATCTTTCGCCTTTTGGTGAATAACTTCATGATATTGGCTTCATATCACCTACCAACAATTTATAAAATTGTTATGAGATTAATACATGGAAATAAAGTATCCTAATAAACATTAGTTATTGACCATAAACACTTTTTCCAACCCTTATTAGAAAACTTTAATGCTGATATTCTATTCCCCCAACCTTCCCCTCAGATTTGATACAACTCCAGTCCAACAACAAATTAGGAGGTCACGAATGGTTGAAGGCCATTCCCAGGGCAATCTCTTAACAAGCGAACAATTGAAAGTTTCCATAGATATACGACTAGGATGTAACATACATAGGCTAACCACATAATTGCATAGATTGTAACACTTTGATTACCTCTATTGGGGATGAGGGGGAGGTTATGGACTTCGCTGTTTATTCAATCAAGGGTGACACCAATGTTATACCTCAATATTTCTAATAAGTCGGAGCCTAAAAGCAGCTTACACACCAGAGGATAGTCTGAAATCTGATGAAATTTAGTCAAAAAATGAATGCATAAAGCTTCATAACTCTTAGATTAGTTCTCGACTCAATATAGATTTTTTACAAATATAAAGCATAATTGTAAAAAAGTAAAAAATTGATATTTTCCTATGGCCATTTTTTGTTTTCTATTTCCTGTTTTTATGAATAATTACACATCTTGGTCAATTATTTCCTAAGATATTTGTAAATAAATACGTTTTTCCCAATCATATATTTTTAAGAGCCTATATACCCTTAAGTAAACGGAATTGGGAATTAAGATTTTTTTCTTCTTAAAATTATACTGTCATACAAAATTTTTTAAAAATTTAAAGGTGTCGAGTTGAAAATGACTTTTGTTAGATTTTAAAAAAGATCAACACTTGGCATGCTAGGTTTTAGATAAGAAATAATCTTGATAATTGTAATAAGTCCTTATTTATTCTTAAATTAATAATTATATCACAAGAATTTTTTATGTATTTAAAATCGTTTTTTAAATCCTTTATATAAGATAAAAAGTAAATATATTATATGGCATTGTATTAGTCAATTTAAAAAATTAATTGTATTATATAATAATAATATATAAAGTCTTTTGGCCTAATAACTTGTCCTAAAGGTTTAAATGATCATTTTCTTCTATTACAATTAAGAACTAATATTATAATTTTAGCAATTATTACGATATTAATAGTATTATTTATATAATAATACGAGAGAATAACAATATATGTGATTTACTAGTTTTTTTATGAGATTTGTCTATTTATTTTATAAATGACGTTTCTAATTTCGATATAGATTAATATTATAAGAATATCGCAATTAAAATTAATAGTCATTAAAAGATATTTTAGACTACTTAAAATAAAATACTGTTATATAATTATAACTTTCAGAAACTTATTATTCTTAACTGATTAAAGGTTATAGTTACGGCATAAGATCTGGACAGAAAGACACTTCGACCGTTAAATTAATTAAGGCCTCAGCTTCCGGAGATTATTTGATCTTAACATTCTTGGACCATATTGCACAGCCTCCAGAACTATGGAATTTAAAAACGTTTACTCTGGTTAGGCGATTTCCCAAAAACTTTCCCAAAATAATTAATTTGGTATAGATTTTTTTGTAATACTTTTATTTATTAATAGTTTATTCTATAATTCATATTTCTTTCGTTAAAGAAACAGCCAATTCGTCCGTCCTTGACTCACTTTCATCTTAAATAAACTTAATTGTATTAACTGTATTTCCTCATAATTAAAAATGTTTTATTCATACGAACTATGATATTCCATTCACCCATTATAAATGAGAGTACTAATATATGCTCAATTCCTTCTCTTAACTATTGCCTATCATATTTTATTTTCCACCAAGTTTACTTTTAAGAATAAAACTTCTTAAAAGTTAAAATAGTTTATTGAAACCGAGCTTTCTTTAAAATATTTATTATAATTTATCGAAGATGAACATTTATTTTCATTTTTTTTTCTATCTTTTTTGAACAAATTTAAAATTAGGATTTTTTTTATGGGATTTGAACTTAGATCATTCGTTTTAGAGCCTGTTACTCAACCCGTGTGTATATGTTTTAGTAATCTTTAAGGATGGATAGAGCACAATAAGAATATAGAGTAAAAAAATGGGAATTCAATGGTTAAATATATATTATTAATTATTTATCTTGCTTGTTAAAATGTACTAAAAAAACTGTTTTAGAAGAAAATATACTATTATATTCTCATAATAATCATGATATTTATGAAGTAAATTAATTACTTTTTCTAAAGAAATTTTTTCAAAGTCGTGCCATTAATATTAATAAAGAAAAATAATGAGCAAAATCAAACTGATTCGATCTTAACTTCCATACACGATAAATTTCCTTTTTCCAAATAATCGAACAATTTTATCAATGGGAATAACATTGTTTACAGAATTAGATATTGATAATGTTAATAAATACGTTTGCACTTTCTTTATTTCATTAATTTATCGAAATTATTAATTTGTTATTTGATAAAACCATTTTATTTATTTTTTACATTTTAAATTTCGCTTAGTTCTTCCTTTTTTTAAATTTTAATTTTTTTGTACCACTTTACGTGATACGTGATATATAGCGCTTATGCCCTATAGCGTTGAAAATACAACATAATTACGCTAGGTTTCCCTCATTTCCATTTAATCGGAACAAAATTTAATTTGGGTACAAAGTAAAATATGAAGAGCCCTCTACACGTTTGTGTCAAGCCGCACGTACTTGTACACGCAACATTCCGAAAAATGTTGCAGACGTCCATAGGCTTTGTAAAAAAAGAGAGTGGGTCAAAATCAAGAGCCTATGCCCGAGAACTGCAGTATAATTTGATTAATTTAAGGGTGGGTTTTGGATGATTTTTTTAAAGGTATTATCCTTTAACATTAATTTTGAAAAAAATTCAAGTATTTGATTTACTTCACTCGTTGGAGGCATGGTTTATGGAATATATTTAAAAAAATTAATGATATTTTAGATTTTATCAAGCCTAGAATTTTTCATTTTAAATATCTTTTCTTGATCCGGAATAGTTTTTTAATGGAAATTTTGCAATTATTTAATTAAATGAATTGTTTCATATTTAAAATTAGCTCTATCACGTCTTTTATTGTCTTATATAACCCTAATGATTTATATTTCATGTATTCCTGTCAGTTTCTTATGATATGAGCAAAGAATTGAATTCGGCGTTTCTTTAAGGTAATGTATATTGGGGTTTGTTTTGATATTCTCCAGAAATTGGTGTTTGATATAATTTTAAGGTAAAAAATACCATTTATAGTGCGGAGGCAATTATTTATAATTGCATCTTCTGATCTCTACCTTATTTATTTCCCATATATCTCCACGAAAAAGCAATATTGGGATTATTGTTGAGTGGAAGTTTCTTAGTTTGGTGAACACTGAGATCTCTGGTTTTCCATATCTTCATGTATTTGTAAAAGCCCCTCTCGCTTTCTGTATCCTTATTTTCATCTCCTTACAGCATCCTTTATTGTCTAGCATGACTCCTAAATATTTTATTTTGTCCACTATCTTAACCACGTTTCCTCCTATTGTATATTTGAGGTGCTTTAGGGGATGGAATGATGAAGGTTTTGTTAAAGTTAATCTTAAGTCCCATTCTCAGACTTAGCATTTCCAATTGGTAAAGTAAATTTTTTTTTTCTTCAATACTTGTGGATATTACAACAATGTCATCTGCATATGAGATAATCCGATTTTCCAACCGTATCGTAATCTTAGAAGCGATATCTATTACATCGCCTGCACCAAGAGCTTCCTTTATGATTTTAGAAATTATAATGTTGAACAAGAGTGGCGAGAGTGTACATTCTTGTTTCACGCCTTTTTTTATTCTGAAAGGTTTGGATATTTTATTGTTAATTTTGAAGCAAGATAGATTGAAGTAGTGGTTTTTAGGATGTTGATAATATTTGGTTCAATGTTACATTCTGATAGTGTCCTCCATAGAGCATCGGGTTTACGTTATCAAAGGCCTTACTAATATCCACAAAAGTGAAGTAAGCAGGTATTTAGTATTTCCAACATTTTTATATAATTATTTTTAATGTCAACAAATATGATGTAGATGTCATAATCTTGTTCTTAGAAGGACCATGAAGATTTTAGATACAGAAGATGTGAGGGCTACAGCACGATAATCTGTAAATTTCTTAGGGTCTTTGATCTTAGGGAAATTACACAAAAGGATTTGTTCTATTTCCTGCTCAGGTTTTCTTCCCCAGATTCTATGAAAAGGGATAGAAGAAAGGAAGATACTGTACTGGGTGCAATTTTTAGGTATTCGGCAGTAATATTATCAAGCCCAGGAGCTTTATTTTTCTACAGTTTTTAACTATTTTTTCGATTTTATTTATATAGAAATCCGACGGGGGCGGGGCTGGGTTCATATTTGTGTTTGTTAAACAGAATACTTCATTGAATAAAAAACCATTATGTAATAATCTAGCCATAAAGCTATCTGCTTTTCTTGGTCAATGATTTCCCTTCCATTCGCTAAAGCTAAGGAGGGGATTTGTAAGTCATAAATCCTAATTTCTTTCATGTTCTTATCAATTTCATTGGCCTTTCTTGCAACATAGATTCTTATCTATCCTCAGCAGTTTCTGTATATCTTTCATAATTCTCTATTTAATCCATTTCCTTCTCTAAACTGTCTTCTAATGTCTCATTTGACATCCATTCCTTGATTGGCAGCGTGATGGGGATTTTGTAATTTACACGGGCAAAACGATGTACAAGTGTAAATTACAATACCTTTTTATATAGATGGTTAGGTACTAATTAGATTTTTATACATCATATTTATTTTATGTGATTTATGGGTTATTTAAGTTAAGCATAAATAGCCGCCATATAAACCTCTATTTTATCTGTAACAGACCTAAGGGGAGTTTTACAGGAATTGCATGACCAATATTTTTTGTCCGTTTTGATGAGATAGCGGATCTAACTGATTTATAAACAGGGTGAGTATATTTATAAAATAAAAGATAAACAAGGAAAATGTTTAAGAGTGAGTTTCAAATTAGAGCTATTTACACTTAAAGCCATACAAGTAAGAGTGATTTTAAAAGTGAAAGGAAAAACGGTTGAAACGAAAGGAAATTTAATGCACTTATTTTAAGTAAAATAACATTTAAAGCCTACAACTGTAAAAAAGATAATTACCTCCATTTCGGTGTTATTTTAATTAAAAGCCCTTAAATGTTAAGGGAATAAATTTGTAATTTGTCTTTAAGAGATATTTTAAAAGAAAAATTAAAAAGTAGAAGTATGGTTGGAAAGAAAAATTAAAAAGCATACTATTATATCTCATGTTTAAGTTGTATTATATTGTAATAATGTGAGGATTTGTAAGGTTAATAGGGAAGTTATAAATAAAAAAGTATAGTTAAAGAATAAACCTGATTTTGAGGATTAGTCATATTTGGGGGAGATGCTCAATTTAAATGGGCACTCTACCACCCAATAAAGTGTTACCACTGTATTGGATTATGGTTAGGATTTATAATTGGAAAGCTATTATAATTTGTGAAAAGAGAGATTGGTAATAAAGTGATTTGTAATATTCCAAATTTGGAGTTGTTTGAGTGTCGATTTTTATTAATGTAACAAGGATTTACCTGATTGTGTAATAAAATAATAGGTGATGTAGTATTGTTTTGTTAAGTTTTCAAAGGAGATTAAAATTTCCATTTGTCAATTTTCAATTTTTGCTCTAGAATAATCCAAGGAATTTCAGATGATTATCAATTATTAATTAAGCATTTTTTTTGGTTAATATTTTTGGGCATATTTTGATAATAAAATTTCCATACAATGTAGGTAACGATGTTATTAAATGCAAATCTAATTTTGAACGTAACCTATTTGATATGTATTAAATTGTTGTTTTTGTTATTTTTTGTAAAATGTTTATTTTTATTATATAATTTGATATGAATTTGAATAATAAATTATGATTTTTATTTTGGATACTAATAAAAAAAATGAAAGAATTCTATCACTACTAAAAATACATTACAAAAGATTTCGTTTTATTATTACAAAAAATATATTACAAAAATTGCGCAGTCTATAAAAAGTCTAACGGATTCAAACCTGTACAAAGATTGGTACAACTTATTTCAAGAATTTAAAAACACACAACCAAATTTAATATCATCACAAGAAAAATCTCTGTTATTAACAACAATAGGGTGTGATACTTACAAAATATTGGTAAATTTATGTGCACCTGATAGTCCAGGAAACAAAGAGGTATTAGAAATACATAATATTTTAATCAAACATTTTCATCCCAAACCTAAATAATAGTAGAGAGATATGATTTTTATTAATATAATCAACAAAATAATGAAAAACTAATAGACTATATATAAAATCTACGAAAATTAGTAACGACTTGTGATTTTGGGGAATATTTAAATACTGCATTAAGAGATAAATTTATATTCGGAATAAAGAATCCTAAAATTTTACTAAGATTACTATCCGAAGACGATATAGACATAAATAAAGCTATTCAGATAGCTACTGCAGTA